GTGTGTGTGTGTGTGTGAAAATGATAGAAAGGGACAGTGAGCGTGCCGAGGCATCCCTCTTGGTTTGTGAGCTCATGTTGAGATGACATCACTGGTGATGAGAGCAAAAACGTAGTTAGGTCCTTTGTCCTCAGTTATAAAAAGATACAGCTACACACAGACACACACACACACACACACACAAACACATACACAAACTGTTTCTGGCACTTCAAATCACCACAGGAACACACAGCTCAGTCACATTAGTTTTGATGGAGGAGAATATATGAGGTAAATTCTATGTAAACTTCACAGGATTTTCTTAAATAAAATGAAGACCACAAGAAAACAACAGACTGCTTCTACCGTAGCCTGCATACCGTTAGGAAACTGAGGCATTTTAGTGATGAAAAAAATATTTTGTAATTTGGGTATATTATGTTTTGCACTATATTTTTATTACAAAGCAATGCGTTTATACAATCAATTAATTTTATATTTTTATATATATTTTTTCTTACCTTTTCCAAATTAATCTAATTTACTATTACTATGTTGCCTATAGAACTTGGTTTATTTAGTTTATTTCTACAGCATTTCTCTGATAATTATCAATTTTGTTGTCCTTTTTACGTACTAGCATTTCGTAACAGTTAAAAAGCAGAAGCAGAATAAATAAGCTAGGGTTCAATGCATTTGCACTGTGTTTACCCTCTATTTGATAATTTGGAGCCTTGAATTTGTGGACCAGGAGTGTTTATTCTGGAGGTGTTCAATGTAGTCATGTAAGAAGCTCCTGGTCTTTTTGATTTTAGGAACCAAAAGGCAACCTGTGACCACTGTGTGATAGTTTGAACAGGAAAAGTTTTAAAAGGGGAAGTGGGTTAATATAATTCTTATAAGAGCAAGTCTGTGATTTTAATTTGGTTCAAACTGAATGTGTCAGTCATTTTTACAGACTGCATGGCTCAATGCCTATTAATCTCTAGTAAAAAAAAACAAAAAAAACATGTTATAGTGCCCTATCGGAATTGAAAACCTTGGCATTTCCCTTTTACAAGACACTTATGGAAGTCTTTCCTTCTGTTATCTTCAACCCAAAGATAAAATATAACACAACTGGCTTTCCTCAACAGTTCTTATGTTTGTTCAGCAATGTTGGCTTTTGCTGCTCATGCTAAAGGCCACATACGCACACAATTCTTTCAATGGCGCATGTTCAAAAAGACTGAGAAGGACTTTTATAGGCACAGGTGACCATTCAACTCGCATGTTTTCCCCGCTGACGCCTTGCTGTAACAATACATTACAAGCAATTCAGCTCCCCAAATCACTCCAGCTTTTAGATAGAAAAAGGTAAATTACGCTCCCTCCAATTTTTACTCCATGCTAACCACCTAGTTCTTTGGTCTATTATTAGAAAACCATTGTCCCTGCCAGGGGAAATGTAAAACATTTCACTTCATGTGTACCAAAGGACTTTTTTTCAATGAAAGTGCTACCTCATACAGAGAAGTTGGGAACAGCAAAATTAGGCAATTATAAGAGTTCTTTTGAATTGGTTATAAACGGATTCCTTTTTTTGTGTCAACCGTGAACAACAAGAACAACAAGCTTTTACAATATATCAATGCAAATGTCATGTGTTATTATCATTTTAAAACAGGGATGCACTGACATGCGTAGCCAGAGAAGACACAGAAGACAGACAGAACAAAAAACCCATTTAAATAAATAAAAAGACACAGAGACAGAATGAAACATAGAAAGAAATGAAATAACAAAAGAAGTCTGTCATGAAATAGAAACAAAAGGAATAGCAAAAAGACAGACAGAGACAAAGTGGTGCAGGGAAAGAAGAAAGGGCTAGATTGGGGTGTTGTGTGACTTGCCTCTATGATGTTCGCTGAGTTCTGACAGCTCCTCTAGTTCAGCACTCCTCTACCTGACACTTCAATACAGTCTACTGCAGGTCTTAGAGCATCATTTTGTGTGTTGTGCACGTGTGCAGTTTGAGTCAGAGAGAGATTGTTTGGGGATAATTCCTGGGAATGTCTATGCCTACTTTTGACTTGACTTGACTGAGTGCCTGCGTGTGCTCGTGAGCACGTGCAAGTGGATGAGCATCTTAACTGCCACCAAAACCTAATTCTGTTCCTTAATTCAAAGCAGAATCGAGTTGAGCTGACATACACAGCAGGGGTAAGCGCGAGGGGGAGGACACGCGTGCGTGTGTGTGTGTGTGTGTGACAGCAACCCCCCTGTGGTGAGACCTAATTTAAAGTGGGGAGATGAACACAGCTCCACTGTGAGAAGCAGCCCCTGACAGGAAAAGAGACAGACACACACATGCACTTACACACAAAGCAAAAATGAAAGAGAATGAACCAGACAGAGAGGAAGTTACCTTTGTAGAGAGAGCGGGAAACCGAGTTGGTGCCTCTTTAAGGTGCAAAAATCAAAATAGAAAGTAACAGTCCTCCCTGTTTCTCACTCTGTATATCCGTTTGCATGTGCAAGCGTTAGTGTTTGATTGTGTGTGTGTGTGGTTTCTCTGACTCACTGGGTTGAGTAGCACAGTGAGAAACAGCTCTCCCCCACGGATGCTTTTGTCCAGTTCTTTAGGTCCACCAGGGTATTCCTTATAGTAGATGGTGTGAGTAAACAAGCCACACGTCTGACGAGGCAGGACCTACACAGGCACATAAACATAAAATCATCATCATCATAAGCTAATTACACTCCTATAATATTGTCAGACTCATGATGGACAGTTTAAAAAATGATAAAGATTGATGCAAAAGAAGGAGAGATAATGTCTTTTTCATTCAGCACATTTTTCTTCCTTGTCAAAACTTGGCATGATTCAGGTGTGTTATGCTAGCACCGGCTAAGAAGTGTCCAGCCACAAGCCTAAAGCAGAGATGAGGTTCTATTGCAGAAATTAAATATTATATGTTTACTTTAGTGTCACCAGAAAATAAGATTAAGTGTGTTTGTTACGTTAGAATGAGACATTTTTAACTTCACCTCTAGATGCTACTAAATCCTGGCCATAAGTCTAAGTTCTAACAGTTTGCTTCGCTCCTTCTGAGGGCCACACACTTTTTTCACATATGCAGAAGTACTCCACAAGACCTGTAAACAGACTTTAATGTGTAAAAACGATGAATTTCCCCTTTAAGTGGCATATGAAACCACTTTGATACAATGATTTGAGATTAGACAGCAAACTAAAAACAGCTATTTTTTTAGGGCCAAAGTACAAACAAACCAGGTACAAAGATCACTTAAAAAAATAAAAGGAATTCAGCTGGCAGAATAAAAGATGACAGATGTAAGGATGAAATGTACAGTGATAGAGTCAAGTTTTTCTACACTGTGTTTTTATTAAATATGAGAAGCAGACAGAAGAGCAGGTCAGGGATATTCTGATGTTGTGTCATCCAACATATTGTAATGTTACCTATCACAGTGGAGAAGCACAGGTGCCGATTATACAGATGTTTCAAGTCAAATCCTTGCAGAATCAGACTTGTTTAACAACTGGCATTTTGACTTGTCAAAAGCACAGGTGAAATTAATAACCTACATGATAGTTCTGCTCCATTTAGTTGTTTGAGTTCCAGCACTCTGGTATGGTGCATGCTGTCTCACTGACACAACTTACTGAGACACTTAGAAAGGAGCAATCATGAAATGTTATTGGTTCCACTTGTGCCTTTCTTGTGATGACAAGCCAACATGTGCCCTGTAAAGAAGGTCTATTAGGTCCAAGAGTCAAATTAGGACACAGCATTTACTGCTGTGCTAGAGGCACAAATCCTGAAGGGCTGTCCAACCGAGATTACTTCACTTACTTCAGCAGCAGACACCTTGTTTTTATGCAGGTGCATAGCATCAGGCATTGATTTGCACTGGTGAAGTTAAATCTTTCTGGGGCACCTACACCTGTTAGGTATTTTGGTGACTTGTTGTTTACTGAAGCAGAAGGAGATGATAATGGATTACTTTTAATCCCGCCCTGAGCAGGTGCACCATGCACCACTAGCTACAAAAAACACCATCAACAACACCAACACTTGTGTGAGTTACATATTCTGTGACTTGGTTGATGAAAGCAGATGTCAATTTCTCAGATTGTCTTTATTGCTACTAGTGAATGCAGCAATGTTTTGGTTGTATAAGGTTTTACAAGTGACAACAATTGATTTTGGCTTCTATTTTAACATTAGAATAATCAGGGAGTTATAGTAGCATTTGTCAAAAAGTATCCACTGCGAGTTAAGAGTCAAGTATGTATTTAAAATTATGTCGTAAAAATGTGCAAACTAATGTGCCCAAAAAGATATAAACTTCCAACAGAGTGCTAGATAAATGTGTTTAACAGCTGATGAATTAATCGCTTTTCATTAGGTCATCAAATGAATTAAATGAAAAGAAGAGAATAAGATGAGAGGAGAGGGGAAGAAGGTCTTTATTGTGAACTCCTTGTGGAGCACTTCTCTGTGTGAAATAGAGAGTAAAGGCTGGAAGCGCAGATATTGGTTTATCTATAAAACACTGCAGAGTCGTTCACACACCCGCGCATGCACACACTCACACACACGGGAGAAAGAGAGAGACAGACAGAGAGAGAGAGAAGGCCACCAGAGCCACAGACACTCAGCACTATTTCACCAAACCAATTATCCACAGAGCTATAGCTCAAACTGATATAGTACATTTTAAAAAGAAATACACACACACAAGTATGCATGTTTGCGCGAGTGTACTCTCTCTATCTATCTTACACACACACACACAGAGCACAATCCCATATCTCAGTCTGATTTGTTCTGATACTGTGGGTCCAGTGGGTGGCTCTCAATCTGCTGACAGAGACACCCAAACACCAATTTTACAGCCTTAAGACAACTTGCTGTCCTCCTATGAGCAAACAAAGATGGAGCGAGAGAAGCACAGGGGAAAGAGATTAATAGACAGAAATTGCAAGAAAAATTGGAAGTGAAAAAATGTGAAAGGTAAAGAAAATGGGAAGGTTATGAGTGATGTCCCATGGTAACTTTATCAGAGGTCAGGAGGCTAGATGAATTATCACAATCTGAAAGCTCACAGGCCAGTTTATAGTGAAAAGATTTAAAAGTGCACACATACACACGCACACAAAAACTGCCTCTCAGAAAAAATTTCTGCCTCCATGAGCTAAGTTTTGAGTTTGTTCTCTTTTTTTTAGCCTCCCTTTGCTATTTAGTCAGTGCAGCATGCAATGTCTAGGAGCAAAAAATGAGCCTTTACACTGTTTCCCAACACAGCTTTTACATTTCTCTCCTTAATATATTTAACAATGGCTACAAACACATATTTGTGCATTTCTACAGATTTAGAAATTAAATTTGACTTAACAATGTCACCTGAAGGTCCATTGAGTCGCTGTTGTGTAGCTTTAAATCCTATTACATTGTTCTTCATCAGCAGATGGTGTTTGCTTTGTGAATTTTAGATGTTCTGTTTTTTCTGAGCACAGGAATTTTCAGTCATGTTGGCTTAAAAGGCTAGCTTAAAATCTTCTTGATGAGGTTGAGGATTAAGTTTAACATCCTCAAAGAGCTCAGAACAAATGGGAATTTGGACATACAAATCTCCATGACAACTGGGTAAACTCTATCTGCTAATGAAGATTATGTGATATGACTGCTCAACTTTCTGATCCAAAATCAGCAATAAACTGTGAAATTGTGAATTTTTTAACGTACGTAATTCTGCTTAGCCAAGATGGAGGACTGTGGTGTGCTGTCCTGTCAACATACACTGTTTAAGGTAGGAGTTCATTTGATGCAGCATATTGGATTCCTCTGAGACCTCTGAGGTCCCGATGTGCTTACCAGAGGTTAGTACATCATAGCATTTTCCTTTAGAGAATAAATAAATAAATAAATAAATAAATAAATAAATAAATAATGGTTGATTCTACTGAACAGTTTTACGTGTGATTTCTTTAGTAAACATCCAAACTAGCTTGCAGCAGAGCAGGGCAGCCTCTCTGGAGAGTCTCTACCCAGTAGTGACAAGTGTTTCCTTCAAGGCATTTTAAGTCCCTTCATTTCCTGACAAAACTGAGAGATCAGGAAAGCTCTGCTGATGAAAGCTCACTCTCTACGTGATCATCAGCTTTCAACAATGACATTGCACATGTCCTTGCTCCCCTACCAATGTTATTTTGGTGCATTGGCAAACCTTCCAACAGGAAGTTTAGACCAACCAATATTAACTATTGTCCTGAGTTTAATTTGAAAGACAGTCAGGACAAAAGTTACAAAAACAATTTTCAGAGAACAGCTGCATCCATCATTGGATGCAGCTCGATGGTAAGCTTGAAAGTAATTCTTGCTGGAGATTTAATTTTATTTCAGCATCTACTTCCTCTTCAGCTTTTCTTCAAAAAAATCTTTTATTCTTGTATCAAACAAATAAGATTTTCTCCCAGCTTGTTCTTTGTTGTTTCTCTTGTTTTCTGACTTGCTTTGTGATGTATCGTGTTGTAAAGTATGTTTTTGTTTAGTTGCTTGGTATTTCAATGATTTACTGATGCTTTTCAATACCTTACTATTGATAATGTATAATAACACATTATAGGCTGTCAAACTGTCAGCTTGTTATTGTATTGAAAGGAAGTAGGATTAAGTAGCTGTCTTTTATGATGCTGTGACAAGATGTCAAGAAATAACACAGACTTCGAGGAGTGATTAGGAAATTGACACAGCTGTCTGTTCAAATTGTTTGTTCAAGACCCAAAATACGCCAGAACAACATGGGCTGGTAATTTTGGTGTCAGATGTGATTGGTTCTTTTGTCAATAAGGGAGCAGTTGTGCACACTGACAAAGAACCTGACTGACAAGTGAATGAAGAGGAGGAGGAGAAGGAGGAGGATGAGGAGAGACAGAGGGAGGGAAGAAGACAACTTGCTTAGGTGAAATGGGTGACAAGAGTTTTATTCTATTGCTGTCTCAAACAGTGACTGATGAATTATTTATTGGAGCATGAAAGTGTAAAAATGCCCTCATTACTAGATCCTCATTCTGTGATGCACATCCTGCGCATATACAAATATACAAATGCACACAGATGCATACACACAGAGAAGTTCACCCCTTTAGCCGCATTGGGAAGCCATTAAATATTGAATCAACATGGAGCCGAGCACACTGTGGTGAGACGAGGTCAAAGAATTCATATCACACACACACACACATAGGCGTGCACACACGGAGGTTACACTCCACACACAGCATCATTGATTTTCTGTTTAAGACTGCAAGAAACAATCAGCACACAATTTACTATTCAGCAAACACTTATTTGAACAAAGAGACAGTAGATAAAAACTGTTTTGCAAAGTAAGATAAAAGAACAGAGCAACGAAGCAACACATCCAAACAGATTCTGGTGACTAAATGATTCTGCATGTAAGCTTGCTTTGATTTAGTTTCTCTAAGAATTTACAATTCATGGTTTTAATTTCAGTCAAATGAATTAAGCAAATAATTTTTCCTCTTGGCGGGCCAGGGACGCTAACGTGCTTTGAGTGTTAGGTTTGATTCGTGGCTTCTGCATGATCAATGATGTTGTGTTAAGAAAAGCACTCGCAAACATGTAGGAATTCTCCAAAGATGCACTTTGTTTGTGACATTTATCATGTTTATCTAACTAACCTGACTCACCTCTTTTTGTCAGACAACACACACACCTATGCTTTGTCTGCACACCCCAACATATTTTATAAAATGTGTCTACTCACAGAACCAATACTGACTTGTATCTGGATACCCACAATCACCAGCTGTGGAAACACTAGCTAAATTATTAGTACCTCTAGCCCTACAGAAGATATACAAAGCAGTAGCAGCAAAAGGTATTAAAGAAAAATATGAAATAACCATTGAGGCTTGTTTAAAAAAAAAAATATTTTGAAATGGCAGCCTTTTTGGCACCCAGCTGAACAACAGAATTATATGTTAAACACTGAATATCCAGTAGGCAGTTGTAATGGTACTAATCAGTTTTCATGTATGTGCGTAAACATGTCAATTGATCAAAGCGTATTTATGGATGTGCATGTGGATGAGCACATTAGCATATGTGTGCACTTGCAGCAATGCTGATGCACCCCTGAGGCTTTTCTCCAAAGTGATGAACAGTGTTGTCTCCTCACCATGATGTTGTTGTGGATGAAGCCCTTGCGGTAGCGGGCCGGTTTGAGGTGGGGGTACTCTTCGGTGCTGGTGACCTGGATGTTCCACACGCGTCTCCAAGCCTTGTACAGCTGCAGGTGAACCGGGTAGACACCTGAGTGGTGAGGGGCCACAGCGTAGCCCATATCCACTGGGATGTTGTGCTCCTGAAGGTGGAGGACAGACGAACACAGAGACAGACACGTCTCTATGTGAGGGTTATATGCATTAACACAGAAGTTATAGCACATTTACAACTCTGACAAAGGACACGGTGGCACATAAACATACAGAGCCTAACAGGCTGACCTTGTAGAAGACGGTTTTGTGCTGTGTTTGTTACGATGCCGGCCTTCGGGGTTGGAAATTAAAAAAAATATATATTTTGTGCAAGCATGTGTATGTGTATGTATGGGAGTGTGAGGGTGGATGGTTGCTGGGTGCATCTCGCAGACTGATGGTGTTGTCCTTCGCGCTGACACACACCTACACACACTGTCAAAGCTAAGCATCAGTGGTCAGGGGATGAGGGAGTGGGGTATGTATGTGTGTGTCTACAATAGAGGTTAGGGATCACACTTTATGATCGCGTTCACCTTCAACAACATGAACCAGCAACCCCCCCCCCCCCCCCCC